AGGAATACATCTTGCATTTATGAGCGGTCTTTCAAAATAAAAAAATGCATTTGGCAAAATTGCTTTCCTTGAAGTACAATAAAATCCTGGAAACAGAAAAGTTTAATTTCGAAATACTATAAGCATATCCTACAAACTAATGAAAAAACGATAATAAAATGTGTTTCTAAGTTTGCGCACTTCGTGCTTTTATTTGCAAGTGATATCATTATACTTCCTGAATGAGTCTGACTGTTTCTGTCGAGCTTGAATCAGCTTCGCTACTTTGCTGCCACTTGGGTCGGGGATGATTAAAAGATGCTACGCGCCTGCGCACAAATGGAGGCGGATGCAGCACCAACGCTACATCAGCTTCCTAAGGCCAGATAGAGACACCCCGAGTTAAACAGGAAAAACGGTGTCTTGACTTTCAAAATAATTGTAGTCTACAATTTCTCACAACAGCAGCCAACAACCACAAATGATGCACAAAGTTTCTTAGTGGCCAGAACACATTAAAAGTAGTCAGTATCAAATAGATAGACGAGAACACACACTTATTATGAAGGTGGGCGATAAGGAAAGCTAGTAAATGTGCTACCCAGGAATGTCCGTGTCAGTGAGTTAGGAGGTATAACCAGGCTCTACATCTTTGGCCTACACTTCCGGTCACAGTTTGGACATTCTTTCCCAGTGAAGTGAATAGGAAAGCGCGTCCAAACCTTTGACTCATAGTGTATTTCTAAGACTGAGGATGATGTCGAAGAACGCGTCAAAGTGATTTTAATTTTGAAAGTCCTGCCCTTCATCCTGTAGGCCTATCTCATTCGGTCAGACTTGACATCTGGTCCGCTGTTACACCGGCTTCTCATCCTTTACATGAGCTGTTTGTCTGTGCACTGTATGTTTCTTGCCTCTCGGTCCTGCGCCACGGGATCAGCAGAGCATTGTGTGGAATCTTTAGGTCGAGAAGAAAAGCGGAGATGCGCTCGTCGGACTCACTTTACTGACGGTCGTGAGCTTCCATCATAGGCCCTGCTCCATGAACACTGGAGCTAGTTCCTTGTGAAAATGGTCCGATGTGTTAGTCTCGGATCACGGAGGGTTTTTCAACTGTAAGGCCAAGACTTTTTGAAAAATGAGGCTCTGGAGCACGGAACATGCTTTCAGGTTGGTCACCCCGGTTTTATTGTTTGTAATAGTCATTAAAGCAGAATAAAGGGGTCAGCAATTGTTGTCCTGACCATGGCACCTAAACCTTTGTCAGTGATTTTAAATAAGAACATTAAACGCTAAAGCGTCTGACTTTGTGATTCTGGTAAGTGAATTCCACCTGCTCTATAATAGAAGCCCAGAGTTTCTATGATTAACACCAGGAGTCAGTGAACTGTCAGGTGTTTAATAGGAGAAAACCCTAATAAGATCATTATCACAGCCTCCTCAATCACAGTATTGACAGAGACACACACAAGGGAATCTTATAGGTTGATTAAGCACTGACTTCAATAACCCCACACTTATAAGGAGATCATGAAACATATTCCTGTACACTAGAAGATTTGTGTCAGTCTGTCGAATAGATGTTGCCAGCTTTATACATTCATTCCCCTTCGTGTTATTTCATATTGTTTTGTGTGCAGTTACCCATGGGAGACAGTGATAAAGGCTGCCATGAGGAAGTACCCCAACCCTATGAACCCCAATGTGGTTGGGGTGGACGTGCTGGACCGCAGCCTGGATGCTGAGGGACGCCTGCACAGCCACAGACTCCTCAGCACAGAGTGGGGCCTACCAGCCATCGTACGAGCGGTCAGTCATTAACATGCACGACACCATGTATAGAAATACACATGGAGAAGACAAAGTTTGGGTTTTCTGAATGGTCTTCAGTGACCTGCAGGAGCACAGTCAGTGCAGTTGAGACAGCAGCTGCTATACCGTGGTGTTCCTCAAGGCCTAAAGTCAAGAAGCAGAAGCAGGTCCAGTGAAAGTCATGCATATGTACACAGCAAGTAATATTTGGGATGGTTTTGCTGTCCTTTCTGTGTATTATCTGTTTGTAGATACTGGGAACCAACCACACACAGACCTATGTGAAGGAACATTCTATAGTGGACCCAGAGGAGAAAAAGATGGAGCTGTGCTCAACAAATGTGCGTCTGCTGGACACACTGTGACTCTGGCTGATCATAATGCACAGTAGTTCACTACTTTCTGTAACTGCTGACGTGTCATGCTGTTATGGTTTCTTTCAGATTACTCTCACCAACCTCATATCAGTAGATGAAAGGCTTGTTTACAGACCACACCCAGACAATCCTGAGGTGTAAGTATTTACATTTCATTTATGAAAACACTTGGGTACGAATTATGTGTACTGTCCTAATACAACAGCATACAAAGAGACAGACAAGACATTTTTTCATGTCTTACTATAATCATGTCTGATCAACTCCCTCACTCACCCCTCAGTACCATCCTGACCCAGGAGGCCATCATTACAGTCAAGGGAGTGAGTCTCAGCAGTTACCTGGAGGGGATGATGGCCAGGAGAATGTCAGCGAATGCCAGGAAGGTAACAAAAAAACCAGTATATACTTAATACATCTTTTGCATGTACTTTGAACAAAGCATGCCATAATACAGGCATTGCAGATGATTTCCTTCCATGCCTTCCAGCAGGCACTCTACTGTCTCTGTTAGTTTTTGTCCTAGAGACATTTTTTTCAGGACATACAGTCAAAAGTTCCTATTTCCAGTGGTGTTCACCTGTCTGTCGCTCTTTATGGCTTTTGTATCTTTTTTGATCTTCTCTCTTTCTTTGGCGATCCATAGGGTTGGGATGCTATTGAGTGGATTATTCAGAACTCTGAAAGAGAATATGCCTCTCTGTGACATTCGCTGACACTGGTACCTCTCCTCTTACTGGGCTGTTATAAGCAATTCCTCATTTTCCCGTCAGAACTACTAATATGTGCTTTGTTTACTTTATGAGTCACATTATGGTCAATGATCAGTGACAGATACTTGCCCTGGCTACACCTCATAAATCATTGGAGACCCTCAGCATCTCAAGATCCTCTACTGATGGTACTTAAACTGTTGAGGAGGTTTGGGGGATTTTCACCATCTCTGTTGCCTCTGGAGTACACACCCTGGAAGAACAGTAAAATGCTGCCAACGGTTATCAGGAAACATGAGAGTCCGAGTGTTTTAGAGTAGGATTTAAGGGTTATAGGCACAAATTTGGTACGAGTGACTCATACTTCTTAACCCATTAACAATCGTTCTAATTGAGGAAACTGAGGCAACTAAGTGCGTTTACCATGCTCTCCTGCTGAGTAATCACAAAGTTTAATATGTAGGTGTGCTGCTATAAAGTTTACCATCTATAAAGACTTGTACCAACTTTATGAGTGTAGCAGACTTCACTGGTTAGATTATTATATTACTACCACATATTCCCAAGTTTACTTCCTAACTTCAGTCTAGAAAGGTACTTGATGCAGAAGAAGGATGCAGTAGGGATATTTGCACAGTTTTTTGACAACAAGGTAGAATACAATGTTAATAATATGCAATAAACATCACAACTTTAATTGACCTAATGTAATTCCTTTGTTATGCCAATCACTGGTGGCTCCTGTAGTAGGAGTTGAAATCAGACCGTTGTTACTGGTGCTTATTATTGTATCTGTTTCAAGAGGCACAAACTGTAGATGATAGGTTTGCATGATGATAGCAAAAAAGGAGGGAGGTCATTATAGAAACGGTGTAGTGTGTGGTACACTAGCTACAGTAGCTATTAAACTACTATTGAAGGTTTTGGCAAGAATTCAAAGAAATGTTGTTTATCTTAGAAAAAAAAAGATGGGAATGTATTGTTAACATTGCCTTCTTTTGCTGCTGTCAACACAACAATACACTGGCATCTTTCTCATGTAAAAGTCATGGGCTGTATTAAACCAGAAACAGGGCTGATGAGGAAGGAGACGACGACGCAGGTTAGTAAAAATATACACTATTTAGCGTGGGCAGAATTACCCATTTCTATGGCCTTAAATAAGTGCCTGTGTATTGTTGCCTGGACAGCAGTATCATGCCTTTGCCAGTCCTACACATCCTTCTTCCGTTGAAGCTGCCTGTATGGCCCAGGAGCAGGGCTATACTCTTGTGTGCAGTGCTGCAGTGGGAGATGCACATTATGAGCTATTTCATAACTCTTGTTAAAGTGAACAATGTTTGTACAGTACATTACCTTAATATTTGTATAAATATTAATTTGAATATATTGTCACAAGCAGTGAATTCTTACTTTGTGCCATGCAAAAATTTAATTTGCTTTTTAAAATTTTGTTTTAACTTCAGTTGTTCTGCTGTAACAATTAAAACTGTTTGAGAAAATTACATTTTGAAAGTCAGTGAAGTGACTTCGGGGTTTGTTGTTCACACAAAGCTCATTGTGTTTTTATACAGCAGCCTTGCCTAATTAAGGCTGTTTGAGTCGACTAAGGTGCTCTTATGAATGTTGAATTTTTATATTTTTTTAAAACTGTCTCAGTTTAGCGTTTCATCTGCCTGCTCCAGTAAAAAAAAACGATGTCTCCATCATTCATCTTAAGTGGTGTGTAAGGATGTCCTGATGGGGTCAAGTACCTACAGCACTGCTACCAAGATTTTTTTTATTTCTTTGTTGCAGTTCATCGTGTGTCCAATAGAGGGCAGACGTTTGCTATTAGCGACAGGAAGACATACTGTATGAATCAGTTCCTCTTCACCTCGAGCAGGAAGCCCATGTTAGCTCTGAAGAAAATGCTTAACATTGTCCTCCATAATCCATCTATGTGGAAAGCCAAATTAAGGTGTGATGATTACATAAAAGTGATGCCACAGATGAGGTTATTTTATTTATTCAACAGAACATAGACAACGCATTGCATAGCATGTACATCATCCCTCACTGTCTGAGCAGTGGTAGAAGAAAGTCTGGGTCACACTGCACATTTAGACCAATTCTCCCTTTCCTTCAAAGCCATTAGTGCAAGATGTTAGAATCTCAATAAATAAACAGTAAACACAATCAGCTGGGTTTTGAAAAAAAAAAAAAATCATGCAGGAGGCTACAAAAAAAATACACATTTTCAGACAGGGCTGGTATTAGCCACTCAAATCAGACATTTGTTGATGACAAAAACAGCATCAGGATCTGAAAACATTGCAAACAAGGATTAAGCTGTATCAATTTCAAGTTTTATGAAAAGGCACACACCGTTGTTGTACTGACTGACTACAATCTTTTGTAATACTGCACTCAGGTGCAGCCACAGCAGAAAACTGTTCATATAAAATCATATAAAAGTGAAAAAGAACTAAACTAAATAGAAAACATATTGTGGTGTATTAACATGTCTAAGAATCACCTCTCAGTCTACTGATAAGCTCCCAATCCTCCTGCTTACATTCATTATCTCTTCTGAACTGCAGCAGCTCCAAATGTACTCCTCTCCATCCCAGTACCAAACACATTATTATTGCAATTTTCATCTGGAAATCAAACACATTGCATCCCCCACATGAGCAGGCCTTGTAATATCATATCAAATAAATCACAAAATAAACATCTGAATAATCTTCCCATGTTGAAAAGAATAACTTCAAGGTCTGAAAATCAGATTCTCCAAACTGAGAAGAACAGCCAACGTCAAACGGTGCATTTACTTTGGAGGGGTCATTTCAAAAACCATGTTAAACTAAGAGTAGATTCACAGGCAGAATGTTTTATCTCTGCTCTCCCTTCCTCCATCCAGTCCTGTTTCTTCTGCATTTCTTTTCATCTGTCACATTCACTCATTTCCAACAGCCAGAAGCCTGTGTACTTTCTCTAAAGAACCTCAATTGCATAATTGTCCCACTGCCTGAGGCCCCCTCCAGTCTGACATCAACTAAATATACATCCAGGAATTGGCTGTGCTCTGAAAGAAAAATAATATTATACAATTCCATTTACAGTATGTACAGTGAGTTCATGTGGATTTGAGAGGATGTGGGGATCAGAACTTGAAAAGGTTGATGAAGTCTTGTGGGGAGAGGGACACGGTGCAACTTTCTGGGTTGTTGGCTGTGCAGGGATGGTTTGTGTCCTGCAAAGAGACACAAAAACACACAGCAATCAATATGGCTTTAATCTGTTGCATCTTGTATGCACAGCTTTACTACTGGCTACAGTTTAGTTTCACTTCCACTTTGAAAAAGATACTACCTTCCAGAAAAGGATGTGGCAGTGTGTGCAGAAGTGCAGGGTGTCACTGTACTGCTCTCTGTGAGGGTAGCAACGGCTCAGCTTAAAGTACATCTTCTTCCACTCCAGGTGACCTTTATCTGACACCATCAGGCGCTTTCGAATCTGCAGAAGAGGGAAAATCTGACTTTAAGGACAAGGAGGAAACTAGCCTGAAACATCCACTTTAATATTAGCTTTATTGAGATCTTCATTTACACCCATACTCAAAAGACGGGGCATCCAGTAGCCTGAACCACTCTGACCTGTAGGAACACATTGCTGTAACCTACTTTGGTTCATAGACTGAGACCATCCCACCGACTTATCAAGCACATGTTTTTGAGCCTGCTGCTAGGTGTATACAGTAAAAGTATGTACCACGTAGGTTTAGCTTAAGAACAAAGCTGCAGTGTATCCAAGTGTGTGTGTGTGTGTGTGTGTGTGTGTGTGTGAGAGAGAACAAGAGTCAGTGCAACATTTTCCTTCTATTCTAAATACTTTACTAAGATGATCCATTCATTTCTACATGCCTGTCTGTCTGTGAAGTGGTAGTGGCAGAGTCTCTTCCACAGCAGCCGGTCCTCTGTGAGGGCCCCCAGCTCGGGACACACCTGGCCCAGGCTGACCAGGTCCCTGCCATCCGACAGACACTGCATGATGTTGAGCTGCAGGCTGGCAGGCAGGTCAATCAGAGTCATGCCTGTAGAGGTGGGCTGAAGGAAACAGAAGGCAAAGTCATGGATAGAACATGCAGGTCCTTCTAAAATTCCCTAAATGTTCCAACAGGATACTTTGATGAAGCCAGCTTGTTGTTCTGTATTTTGGGCAGATGCTTACCCTGTTGATCTGGATGTTGTCCAGCTGCTGCTGCCACTGTAGGATGTTCTCCATGCGGTGCATCCAGATGTTGATGTTCCCCACCAGGACAGACTTGCCCATGTCCTGGACAAGACCACACAACGAGACATACAGCGTCTGCAGCAGCTCCTTGATGGGACGGACATTCTGCTGGTCATCAAGGACTGGGAGAAAAATCAGAGCATGTTCAATTTATTATTCCAATCATGACCTAAAAGTCAGGTTTTAAACTCTGAAATTAGTAGCTACCAGGAAAACAGCCAAACAGTACACTATTAACTGTGAATCATCAAACAGCCCATTAAACTAAATGTTGTGGAGTGGATGTACTCTCCGCCTGTGACGTTAATAATATTTGGCCAATGGGTTTCATAAGGCCACCTAAATGACCTGAGTGCCTGTTTAGCAGAGGGAACATTTAGTTTACACTATGGCTCATGTAGGGGTCTGGTGACTGTCAGTGTTTTTCACAGTACCATTAAAGCACTACACTCACTCTCTGGCCTTCTTTAGAACTCACTAGGACTAGTTTCCTCACCTGCTCGTGCAAACGACAAAGCATGAAGGCTTTGTCTTTGCACAACATAGATTTTTGGGGGGTTTACATAAAGATGTGGGCAGTATACTAGTCTGTGTATTGGGACCAACAAAAAAAAGGACAAATGACATGGTTAACAGTTATATGTGTGGAAAAAAAGAGCAGACAAAACCCTAAGACACACAAAAGACAAAGTTGAGTGAATTAAGAGTGGCAGGTCTCACCTTTCTGTACCACTCTCTCCAGAATATTCATGTAGTTTTTCTGCGCCACTCCACTGAGCGAGGGGAGCTGGGATTTGGCGATAAGTTCCAGAAGCTGGAGCAGGGAAAGAAGAGAGACAGACAGAAAGAAACACAACATAAATTTCATCCTATCAGCTGCTGAGACTCTCTGTTCCTTTGCCTCATTACTAAATGTTTGTTATGCTACATTCTTACAAAGCCACTTGCACTCCTAACAATAAATGCTGTCGAGAGCACATTTGGAGCCGTTCCACCTGGTCATTACTCTGGACTTGAAGCTGGATCAAGTGAGCCTATAACAGGATTCTTGGCTCTGATCATTCTTCATCAGAGTCTCTTCAGGGGAGGAGAAGCTGCTGGAAAGGTGTTGGATAACAGCCCAGGCTGTCAACGACATCAACCCTCACAAACAAGCTGTTAATCATTTGACTGCTGATGCTCCTGTCATGTGAATTAGCTGAATCATTTGACAGTGTGTGTGTGTGTCCGCACATGTGTACTTGTATGCCTGTGCGGTTGTTGCCATTGGCTAGCTGACAAACAGCGGGCTGCAGGCTGGCATGTCTGGCATTCAACAGACGATGTGACATCATGGAGAAACACTAGCTCTCCCTTGCTCAATTCTGACCGAAGCATGTGACCTTTGTCATCATACATCAACATATTGCGCGGTACTTTCTGCTACACAAGGGGACATGTTGCAGCACTAGTGGGTAAGTTCTGAGAGGCATGAAAAAGTGACAACACAAATTGTCCTCCATGCATTTTTTTTTTTATTCAGAAAACAGTTTAATGAAAAGTGCAAGTTCCTGAATACAGATGTCACCAACTTTAAATAAGCATTCAGCCAAATCCTACATAAAAGGCAAGTTGTTTGAGGGTCTGAGTAATACTTTAAACTAAATTACTCCTCTCCTACATCCTCTACCTCCCTGTCTGTTTTTACCAGGCTTAAGATTCTTCGCTCCCTCCTGGCTCCCTTCTAACCACCCTTTCCAGCTCCATTCCTAAAACTTAATCCCATGCCCTTCTTTTAGCAGCTCATCAAGTGTTTCTCTCTTTGTAGAGCAGCTGGGCAGAACAATGTGTGTTTCCGTATCTACTTTTAGCCCCTGCCGTTCGCTTGGCGTGCGGCTCACCCTTTTCCACAAGCAAACCGAAAGCATTACAAGCACTGCATTTTCTTATTTTATGATGGCGCTACAAGCCAATTTAAACATTTCAGCTCTCCTTGAAATAACCTCCAATTGTCTGCTCTGAAAAGAAGAGGACCACTTGTTGTCTCTCTGTGGAAGAACCTGATCTGTGTAACCGAGACAGTGTTAAATGAACCCACAAATGCCATCA